ACAACAGGGGGTGTGTAAAGGCAGGCTATGTGGTAACAAGGCCTGGTGTGTGGGGTAGGGGGCTGGGACATGGGAGAGTTTAGGCCCTAAAATTGTTGAACTCAATATTGAGCCCGGAGGGCTGTAGGGTACTGAAGCGGAAAATGAGGTGTTGTTCTTCCAGCTTGCGTTAGTCAATGTAATAGTTACTTACAGTTTAAGAAATATTAAAATTGTATCCTGTATTTTAAAAAGTTAACTTATCAAAATGCTTCCAATTACAGTATGGGAGTTGTCAACACCTTTTGAACTTGCTTATCGAAAGGTTTCCAACTCCAAATTGGGGACCCCTCTGGTTTACAACAACTCTGAGCTGTTGTAAATCTAATTCAGCTTCAGACGTTACTCCAATCAAATGGAAATTGCAGGGGCTCTGCAATATCCACGCAATGAAGCCAAGAAAAGAATTGAGTGCAGCATGTGGGATCGCTACTTGGCCCCTTTCCTGCATTGATCAAAATTACAGGGGACAGGAATGAGGTAGAACCTCCACACACACAGTACTAACATGTCTCCATTGCACACACATAACAGGGGCTTATCCTGTGTTACACCTCACTGGGGAAATTTGCTGGAATTGCCCTGCTATGGGCAGAGTTGTCTCGGGAGTTAAAGTTAATATTAATTACACAGAATGTTTTAAATCCAGGCTGTGGAAGGCATGTACATAACAAAAATGATGATTTATTACAAGTAATTAGATTCCAGCCACAGATAAACAACTATTATCCATCAGCATAGAGCTGACACACACACACATACACACACACACACACACACACACACATACACACACACACACACACACACACGGTGAAAGATAGACAGAAATTCATTCTGAGATAGTAAGAACTGCCAATGCTGGAGTCAGAGATAACACAAATAGTGTGGAGCTGGAGGAACACAGCAAGCCAGGCAGCATCAGAGGAACAGGAAAGTTGACGTTTTGGGTCAGGAAAGAAGGGTCTGAAGAAGACTCCTGACCTGAAACATCAACTTTCCTGCTCCTCTGATGCTGCCTGGCCTGCTGTGTTCCTACAGCTCCACAACGTGTTATCTCAGAAATTCATTATAATGCTTTACACAGTGTTAACTACTGATTATTTTTTTAAATTGGAGCTTTTCCATTCCAAAAATCAATGATGGATTCAAATAGCTCTCTCTCCAAACTTAAAAGTTATCCTCAATTAGGGTTAGTTTGAAACAGCTTGGAATTGTTGGTTACACTCAAATATCTTCTTTCTCAATTCAATCATAGGTGCATTTAAGAAAGGATAATGACCTAAAAGATTATATGGTTATCAATTACTTGCTAGGCTTAGTTAGTCTTTTAGCATCAAAGTCCTTATTGCTAGCACTAAGCTCTTGCGGCTAGTTGTAATTGGAAACCATTCTAAAAGTGTAGTCCATGTAAGTACCCTTAACTGGGCCCACAGTCAGTTTAAGGCATAGGCTAAATGAGCTACAACATAGAGCTTTGCATTTTCACGTCTAGAGGCCGTATGATAAAGGAATGACTAAATTTTAATTTTTGCATAATCAATTGAAAAACTAAAGGAGACAGGGAAATCCATAGAATCCCTACAGTGTGGAAGCAGGCCATTCAGCCTATCAAGTCCACACCAACCCTCTGAAGAGAATCCTACCGAGACCAACTCCCCTACCCTGTAAACCTGCATTTCCCATGACCAATCCACCGAGCATGCACATTTTTGGACTATGGGAGGAAACCCATGCAGACACAGGGAGAATGTGCAATCTCCACACAGACAGTCACCCAAGGGTGGAATTGAACCCAGGTCCCTGGAGCTGTGAGGCAGCAGTGCTAACCACTGAGCCACTGAATCACAAAACTGTCCAAAAATGATATTTTTGTTCTGATAACAAGAATATCCTTATATGGCTATTATTGAAGCAATCCTGCTTGAATATTACACACAATCAGAAAGCTTCAATTTATTCCCAGCCACCATTTAAGATATGCCATACTTAGGTGCCCAGGCTCCCATGTCTCACCCTGGTTAACCACAGTCTAACAATGCAGATCAAAAACATCTCAATACCACACCATTTCCTTTCCAGTCACATGATCACATGCTATGATCACAAAACAAAATGTATTTTATGGTTTTCTAAAAACAAACTTAGTTTCTAAAAACTAACAAAATGTCAAAAACACCCCTGCCTTCCCTCAGCACCTAGCAAAAATATAATGTTGGAATGTATGTGTTCATTTTCCTTACTTCTACTTTACTTGAAAATATAAAGGATTATATTCAAACACTCTGTCAAGATTTATTTCTCTAATTATGTAGAGAGTCCGGTTAAAAATGAAAAGAACCTTTGAAAGCAGATTTCAGAAAGAAAGAAGCAGCAGCAGACCGAAGAGCAGCTAAAACAATTACTGAATGGTGACAGTTATTTGACTGTAATAAAGGAGAACCTCATACTCAAGAGAGCCAGCCAGGCCCATAGCAACTACAACCATTCACTTCTTTTGCTAGGATAGATGACACAGAAGTGAATATGACCTGCTACACCTGAGAATGTTTCACAGCCTGAAATCCCAGCTGAAGAAAATAGATACAAAACATCCAATTATCTTGGGTCTCTAGGGTGTCTTCACTGAAGATGATATTTCATTCTGGATACAGTATGGCTTCTCAGCGTGTCAACAATGGAATGAACTATTTGGGAAATTGAAGTGGTCATTTATTTAATCTTGTGGCCATGCTGCAGTTGATTGCTGCCTAGATGCAGCAATTTTGTTTTTTGTTGCCGCGCCTCCGCAAAATCCTGGACTGTACTCAAATCATTTTTGTGCCCTGATTCTACCAGACCAAAAAAGTTGTGCTGACACTAGAAGGGAAGTGCAAACAAAAGCTACTTCAGCCGTAGCTGAGAGTTATGGTTCAATTATCAATCTCTTACCCATCTTCATCCTGAAAAAGACAACTGAGAGAAAAGAAGGCACTCTCCAGGAGAAAACAGAGGATCTAGAGATAGCTAGAAATTAGAATTTTACAATCATTTGTTAGATTAGTTGCACAAAATGACTGAGACCCGACAGATCAGAGGTAAAGTCACCATAGTTTTACCAGGACTGCTCTCCTGTTAGAGAGAGATGACTGGTGACAAATTAACCTGAGAGTCATCATGCCTCAGGCAAGGGGAAAAATTAAGAAGGAAAGTCCTTCATGGTAACCTCAGCAGTGTGGGAATTGAACCCCCAGCAGTTGGTATTACTCTGCATTACAAACCAGCTGCCCAGCCAGCTGAGGTAACCCAGCCACTGTGTACAAAGGTAGCCCTTAGTTCATATGCAAAGCTTTACACGTCTGTCTCAAATCTGACAATCAAAAAAATCAAAATCAAATTCAAAGTAAAAGAAAACCTACCTGATGTAGACTGCAAGTGTATGAATAAAAAGAAAAGAATTAGAAAAAAATCAATGATTGTGATGCATCTAATGCCGATGAAAGCTTTCTCCAAATGACATGTTTCGAATAAAATCCTTTATTCTCGTAATGGGATGCACTTTAAACCAATTTGAAGAAAAGAGCAATCACATACTAAAATAATGCAAACAATCTTTTCATTATGATTCATTTAGATGCCGCAGAAAAACAGTTATGCAAAGAAGTCTCTGATGAAAGATTATCATTATGATATTCATGTTAACCTCATTGAAGAAATAAAATACATCCAAATTTATATCGATGAAAATTAGTCAGATATGGGAATCAGATGAAGGCTCTGACATTCGTAAACCTCATTACTCATTCGTGTGATACTATTTAAATAAGCTGTATGTCCTAATAGCCAACAGATCATATTAAACAGCACAATTCCTCAGCTGTTTGCAACAAGCAAGGTACACACTGTACCCAACCAGCCCATGCTTGGAAAACTTACAATACAGTATTCAACATTAGATGTGATTATGCAATTATACAACAAATGCTACATAATCCTGGAGTATGCAAAGAATTATGCTGACAACCGCTTTGAAATTGTCAGTTGGGGTCAATGTATGGCACACTTGTATGCTAGAAACTACATTTTCAGGGCCCTGTTTTTTCCGGATAGAAAGAATATCAATGCAAACTGTGCCTGCTACAACAGTATAAAACCAGCCGTTCTCTGGTTCATTTCTTAGGGCAATGTATTGACTAATCAGAGCTAACCTGCCCCTTTAAAATTTAAACCAAGCTTGGCTGTTAACTCTCAGTCATCATTAACTGGTGCATCCTCCATGGCAACACATCTATCGATCAGATTCCACTAGATAGCCATTCTTCACTTTCCATACATGTAGTATGAATGTTGTCTTCCCCGTAATTTGTGAATTGTGAATTGGGTGGCACGGTGGCTCAGTGGTTAGCAGTGCTGCCTCACAGCACCAGGGACCCGCATTTGATTCCAGCCTTGGGTGACTATCTGTATGGAGTTTGCATGTTTTCCCTGTGTCTACCTGGGTTTCCTCTGGGTGCTCAGATTTCCTCACACAATCCAAAGATGTGGATTAGCCATAGGAAATTGCGCATATGTCCAGGGGTGATTAGGCTATGCTGGTTAGTCATGGGAGATGCAGTGTTACAGGGATGGGGTGGGTGTGGGTGGGATGCTCTTCGGAAGATTGGTGTGGATTCGATGGGCTAAATGGTCTGCTTCCACACAGTAGAGATTCTATGATTCTACTGGTGTGTGTGCAAGACAAAAGCCTTGTCAAAATTTCTGAAGAAGGGTCTAGACCCAAAACGTCAGCTTTCCTGCTCCTCTGATGCTACTTGGCTTGCTGTGTTCATCCAGCTCTACACTTTGTTATCTCAGATTTTCCAGCATCTGCAGTTCCTACTATCTCTCAAAATGTCTATGTTTGTCAGCAATATTCAAATTCTGAGCTGCCAAACAACTTCATATGAGCTGTCTCTTTCTTTAATGTGGAAGTAAAAGCTTACCATCTATAGCCAATTTCAAGTCTGTCAGTGTAATTCTAACGCGTGTAAGAACTCGCTGCATTCGATCAATCTCCTGGCGCAGGAAGATGTTCATTGGTTGGATTGCACCCATTTTCTGCAGTCGAGCTTTTACCTTGAAAACAACCAAAACAAGTTTTATTTTATTACAGCATATTGCACTTAATGTTAAAAAGCTGTAGATCTTTTTGTTAATTGCACCCTCCAATGTTGTATATACATTAATATTCAATTAATAGTTGATATGAATATGAAGATTTTTAAAATAATTATCTAGATATTTAAATTATCTGAATCATGGATATGAAGGATGGATGTGACTCCCTGCTCCTTTCACAGTACTTGTTGATTGTATGAAAGCATGTTTAATTTTCTTGCATCAGGAAGATTTGTATGTTAAAGAAAGGAAAAGCTGCCAGCCTTCATAGTACAAAATAATTCAGTCAGTTCCTACATACACTAAGCATCTAAACAGAATATTTTCTGGGTTAAGTCCCCAAGTGTATAATTACATTAGAATTTCAGTACATTTATTTTGCACCTAAATATGGAAATTCCCAACTTCATACAGTGCAAAATTCAGCAGAGTAAACTATTCTAATCTAAATCAAAGTTATCAACTAGTAAATTGTGCAAATGCAAATTACTTCAGATGAAAAATACTTCTAAATGTGATCTATAACTTTATACCAATAACGTGACAAAAAAACAATTTAATATTGCCTATCAATACCAAAGGCTTCTAAGGCAGAGGCCCCCATTGCAACTATGTGGAGATGGTGAGATCACAATGAACTTTAGGCTAACATTTCAGTTTATGGAATTAAAAGAAACATTACAAACATTTAAACAGTTTCTTCAGTGTAGCACTTGCTCCATCCATCAATAATATATTAAAATGAATCTTGCAGGAGCTGTACTGAAATACTGGAAACTAGATTGGTACCTTAAACCCATTCACTCTTCAAGCATACGAATTAAATGGCCTGCCACAATGGAAAATAATTGGACACAACTTTCCAGATCTGGTTAACCTTCCAGATGATTTTAGAGCATTGCCGTATGATTAGGAAATCTGATTATTTAAAAACAAAGTTTTATTGAGGTTTTGAGTTCAGGGGTAAACTTTTCACTAACAAGCAAGTGTATGGGAAAAGTGTTTGTAATGAAATTATATGGAAATTATCCGCTGTCTATGTTAAAATTACCATAATAAACAACTTTGCAAAGTGGCAAAAAAAAAACAAATGTAGTCAATGATAATTTGCTAAGAATAGAAATACAGAGATTAATTCCTATGGGCTGAATGTAAATGCCTTTATTCACTAAGTGCAATTTGGGTTAAGATTTTTGGACAGTTTGTTGCTATGAGGCCGAGTGAGTTCTCTCGCTATATCTTATCAAATTCACCTCATTAATAACCTACCTCATGCAATAGCATCTCTTACATCCAATTTCCATCCAATCTTACCATGCACCATTCCCACTTTGTGCATATCCTGGCATTCACCAGCATCCCTTGTGCCCATGCCATCTTTTATAGCCTGTTGTACACCTGGACAAATACTGTCATATTGGCACTGCCCTACACAGTTCCTGACATTCACCACAGATATGGCAGACAAGGGGAAATTGGTGTGCTGCATTGTGGGCAGGGTCCTGCTGGGTGGGGTGGTGCTAACGCAGGACTCCCTCCAGGACAAGCCCTGAAGGCCACAACACCAGACCATACCAGCCTGGTCTAAGGTTGCTATCCAATGTCTTTACTCCTGCTATCCCAAAAGAAGAAAAGGTCATTCTTCTCGAGGACATTAATGCCAGGGTTGACTGTGTCTCCAAACCCAAAGAATCATGGGGAGAAAAGGTGTGGAAAAAGCCAATATGAATGGTGTCCTCCTGCTGACAAAATGTACTCGGCATGGCTAACAAATACCCTCTTCCACCAGAAGAACAAACGCAAAATCACATGGAGGCATACCAGATCAAATCACAAGCATGTCTTGGATTATGTCTTGGTCAGCTCAAAGTTGAGAGCAGAAGGGCTGTATGGCTTCTCCAACCTGCTCCATCATTCGATTTGATTGTGGCTGATCTGATTGTCCACCCATTCTTAACCCATTTACTGACCTATTCAATATGGCATTTGATTCCCATTTTAGTCAAGAGTCCATCTAACACTGTCTAAAAAATATTCAATGACTCTGTCTCCATTGCTCTCCAGGAAGAAAATTCCAGACCCACTGAAAAAAACACTCTCTCCATCTTTGTTCTTATTCACAAGCAGTATCCCTGAATTCTAGTCTGTCATACAAGGGAAAACATCCTCTTAGCATCTAGTGATATCTAAGTGATGTCTATGTCATTTGATCCAGACATTGCAAGCACCTAAAGCCCAAGAGGAAGGGGATCAATGTTTCAGCCCTAAAGAAGCCTGACCAAAGAGAGGAATTTGAAGCTTAGCCCACAGCCAATGTGGGAAATCTTCACACACTCATGTGAATTTCAGAAGCAGGGGAACAAATAAGGGCTGCTGAACTAGATACTTTTGTTCAGACCCTTGGGTTCAAGAATAATCATTACCAGAATAGAGAAATATGTGATTTTCTGGAACAAAAGGGTCCTGTATCTAAAGAAAGAAAAATACGACAGGGTGAGGTGTGATCTGGCTATGATAAAATGGGGGATGTTACTTTAAGGAATGTCAGCGGGTAGGCAATGGCAACCCTTTAATGTGTCTTTGTTGCCTGTCAGATCCAAGAAAAATGTGGAGAACCACAAAGAAATCCTTGGGTACATTAACCTAACCAAAGCATTTGAACCAGTAAATTGCTAAGCTTTGTCATTGTGTTCCAGAGATTTGAATGTCCAAAGATCTTCATCAGAGTCTTGCAACTGCCTTATGATGGTACGGCTGCAACTGTCTGGAGTGGGAGATCTCAAATAGTAAAAGTCTGAGCTAGGATGAGGCAAGGCTGTGTGATAACCCCCATATTATTTACAATCTAGTTGACAGCGACTATTCACGTTTTCAAAGATCTGCTGTTTTTTTCAGTGTCAGTACCATAAATAAGCCAAGTTTCTATGACTAAAATCTATTAGCCAAAAAATGGGCGTCGACTTTCATATGAATAACATTTTAGGAGGATGGAAATTATCTTCTCCCATCTTCTCACTGCTGCAGGGTTGCCTGGTTGGAAACTGTTCCCCAACTCCCACCCCCAAAAGTGGCAAAAAGGAACAAAAAAGTCTTTTTATTGTTGAATTGAACAGCTGACCTGAATGCTGTGTCATTCTATGACACCTTTAATAAGTAGGCTTGCAGCACGAGAGTCTGAGTTCAATGGTGAGTGGGTACAAAGTACAAAGAGTATGGATTTTTTTGGTCAAAAGACAGGTGTCAATTTTTTAAGATCATGACTCGAGTATTTTTGCTCATAAATTTCCCGGACAGAAAACTCACCAACCTCTCTGCCAAAACTAAACTCAACACCGTATAAATGATATACAGATGGCAAGTAACTGCAACTTCACTGTCAACTTAGATCAAGATTTACAAGCCACTCTTGATCTCTTCAATTCCGCATACGAAGGAATTGGTCCGTGTTTAAATGTTACTGAAACAGCCACATATCCCATCACTAACATATTTTGAGCAAAGGTTTCTGGAATATATTCAGCACTTTCCAAACACAGGCAGGCACCTTTCTTAATGGGGCACCATTGACAAGGAGATCCTATCCCAGATCAGCTACACCATGTCAGTCTTCTACAAGCTACAGTAGCAAGTGTTTGACAACAAAGACGTATACAAGGCAACAAAACTACTAACGTACAGAACAGCTGTCATCATCACACTCCTGTACTACAGTGAGACAGGGACTGTGTATTAGCAACATGTAAGAATGCTGGAGAAATTCCATCAGGAGGTTTCCATTGCATCCTTTGGATTCAAGGGGACGGCAGTCAAACTAATGCTAGTCTTCTTCGTGAAATCAGCTTCATAAGTAATCAAGCAACACACCAACAAAATTGACACAATGGGCTAGACACTACGTCCACTTGGCCATAAAGGATCTCCTTGAGTAGGTCTTGTTCTAAATTCTAAAATGGCCAGAATTCCAGGGAGACAAAGAAAATGCTACATGAGACACTCAAAGCTCTCCTCGATGAGGAGGAGCTTGTTATCAATTATTCAGAATGGCAATAGATTTGTCAATCAAGCTACATTCCTGCTTTGAGACACAATAGTCTGAATCTCAGAGGGGCCTAAATGGCATGGCCTATAGTGAGATCTGTGGCAGAATTCTGTGAGAAAAACGGCCAGGTTATCTAGACATTAGCAGTAACTTGCTGTTACTTTTATGCATCTGCCAAGCAGTGAGACAATTTCTCGTTAGACAATGGCAAGTTACTAAATAGGGGAGATTGTAGTTTATTAATGGCACAACTCACCTTATTAATATTTAGCTTCCTAGCTTACCGAACATGCTGAACAAGCTAGGCATTGGAAATTCTTGACATGGAAGTCAGGGTGGGTACCTGGTGACTCCAGTTCACAGTCTCCACATTACTCAGCACCAAACAGCATCTCAGGATGTACTCCATGGGCAGCAACACCACACAAGCCTTATCCATGGACACTGGTATCTGACATTTGCCTACACCTCACAAACTTCATGGCACCTCTCCGATCCACTTTCATGATCTTTAAGAAGCATAAATGTGCACTGAAAGGTTGCTGTAAGGAAACTGTGTATGCATGGATGGATATCCAGCTCAGATTTGACTAGCTATAGCTTGTTCTCTTAGTTTCACTAGCACAGAGGTAGATGCTAGAAGCCACTGGCTGAAGAACGCTCTCCATTACTTTGCATCATGCTGGAATCCTACAGTGTGCAAAAGTGATAGTGACTCACTCAGATTGGGAGGAGTAAATGACCTGACATGTGAGGGAGGGTCTGCAATACCCACCAGTGTGAAGCCCTTTAAAGGGAAACAACATTACATACTGACCTGAGACTCCCTAATCCCTGGTGATCCTCATCCTGTATGCTGCACACCTCCTTGTCCCGGATATTGCTGACCACTTCATTCACATCAACACTTCTGGACACTGAGGTAACGTTTTAGTATGAGAAACAACAGAATTAACATAACCCACAGCCCGAAATATGCCTTGTTCCTCTTGGTTCAAAATGCTGCAGCAGCCTGTCAACACAGGCTTCAATCAATGGTACATTCTGCATGGATATGAATTTAGGCATTTTGCTGACACAGTTTCATTCAGGGATACACAGAGATTCAAAGATATGTATGTCATACAGAACCAAACACGTTTATAAAAATTTGATAGCTTGTATACAGTGTGCTTTCACCCATGCCACCAAAATGTTCAGCAGTGCAGTCCATTGGTCATGGAGATTTGGAAGGGGCAACCCAAGGGGCATATCTATCTGGATGACCCTGACACGCTGAGGCTTTTCGTGCCAGAGGCAAGTGGACCCTCCTCAGCTTGAAATTCCAAGGGTTGGAGCAGGGCAGACAGGTTCAAGGCAGAGGGCCTGGCCACCTCAGGAGTGTCTGGAGAGAAGGCCTCTCAGGGGCCAGCCTGTGGTACCTCCTCCAGCTGAATGCCTCCTGGCACCACCTTACGTCCTTGTGGCGAAGGGCAGCTGGAATCCATGCCAGGTTCCCCACCCACTCTGTCACAATGCCTTCAGTCCTCAGGATCAATGGTTAGACGATGAAGTCCAGGTTTTGCACTTCTTCAGCTGGTGCCTGGTTTCTGTCCATCCTCAGCGCCAATGACCTGGGGTATTTCTGTCAGTCAGGTGATCACCAGATTGTGCTCCCAAATTTTCGTAAAATCATACAGTATAGAAGACACTATTCAGTCCATTGCATCTGTACCACCAAAAATATATGATTATCTATACTGGTTCCACTTTCCCAAATTAGACCATAGCCTAAGGCTGACATTCCCAATGAGATTTTAGTATCTGAGCTGGTGTGGGGTACAGGGGGCAGCCTTACTGCTTCTTCCTCTAATGCCTCAGCACTCATTCTCAGAGAGTGAGGAAATGGCTCTAGCATGGCGTACTTTTCCACTGACAGGGTCGTAGACATCACCCTTGGTAAGACAGAAGGGAGTAAGGCGTTGCAGCCAGTGGTTAGATACAGTGTGCAATAAATGACATTGACATTGGGGTTAATGCAAGAGTGGTAGTGGCATGTACAGTGTTGCTTACTCGGTTGGCAAGACATGGATGCCTTGACATCACCCCCTAGGAGCAGTCCTGGTCTTCTGCAAGTGACAGGAATCACCCTCCGTAGAAAGTGCAAAGCCTGATGTTGGGCACTCCTACAGCAACTTTCTGTCTTCTTCTTGGGTGAGAGATTAAGTGAGATGTAAGGTGTTCCAAGGGAGTGCAGAGGGACACAGGGTTAATGGTATGGGTAGTTGGGAGGTGGGTGGGTTGGGGATTGAGCATTTATTGCTCATTCCTAGTTGCTCAGAGAGTAGTTAAGAGTAAACCACATTTCTGTAGGTCTGGAGTCACATGTAGGCAGGACCAGATAGGGTGGCAGATTTCCTTCCTGAAAGGACATTAATGAACCAGGTGGATTTTTCCTGACAATTGGCAATGGCTTCATGATCATCATGAGATTCTTAATTCCAGCTAGTTAGGGAACTGAAATTCCACCATCTACCAATACCTCTGGACTATTGCCTTCCCTGAAGTAAGCAAAAGAAGGTGTTGCAGACAATAGTGAGTGTAGGACAGCATGAGCCTTTGGGGGAGGTAGGTGCAGTAATGGAGATAGAGACGGTATAAAATATCAGAGAGAAGTATATGACACTTATGTTGGCACAGCAGAGGTCATTGACCTACTTGTGGCATTGCTGGCCCTTCCTTTGCACTACAGAGATGACACCGATCCAGGTAGCAACTTAGGACTAGGCTGGTAAGGTCTGGTGTTGTGACCTCCAGGAAGAGAACACCCTTCCTCTGCACCACACCCTCTCACCGGGATATCCAGGTTCCTGTTGGAGAATCATAGCGTATTCTTCACCTTCTCCAACATCTTCAGAATGATCATCTGTCGCTGAACAGGGCAGCTTCAGAATGCACAGGCGTCACCTTCAAATCAAGGGAAAGCTGCCCCAAATGACAATTTCCGTAATCATTGCAAATTTCAGTCTAGTGCTCCTTCTATCCAATTCCAAATCTACATAAACATACTGAGAACCCAGTGCCACCTGCAAATCCTCTCTTGACTGCGCTGTATTCGTTTACCTCAATTCTTTGTTTCCCAGTTGTCATTCACCATACATTAATTATAGGACAGAGCAGAACTGAAACAAGGTAGACAATGAACAAAGTAGGAATTTTCTTTGAGTGGACACAAGAAATATTAAGAGTAATGCACTCTTCCTAAACAGGAATAAGTTGCATAGAGTTAACAACTTCAGTAGGAATGGTTATGGAAGATGTGGTGATGTATTCGATGTGAAACTGTGAAATTGAAACCTTACATATCTAATAATTGCCATACATGAAAAAAAATGTCCATGAATTTTACCGAATTCTACAGGGATGGTAACTTGCTAATCTACATGTCCCAACTTGCACACAATGCCAGCCCCACATTATTCCCTCGGGAGGGAATTATCGAAAAATTGTTGTCAAGCAAATGCTATCGAGAAGTTGGTACATTGTCACCTTCTGTGAGCAACTAGGACTGAATAACAAAGCAGCTTTGTCACTGGCAGACAGGGGGAAAAAAAATCTAAGGCAGGTATACGGGGTTCAATACAATTACATTCCCTTGAATGTGGTGATAATTTTCCAAAAAAGTGGCAGTATGATCTTGAGGAATCTGCATGAGATTGCCACTCCTCAGAAAATCCAGCTGTTTATGTTTCAAATAAAAGATTGCTGCTTAGGTTTAACATGATGAGGATTTAGCTCAATGGAATGAATCAGAAATTAACTGAAGGACGTTATTTGTTATGGGATCACCATCAAGGGTGGATCTAAGGAAGGAAAATGATTCAATTCATGAGAATTTAATTTTATTGAATTTAAATACAAACTGATCAGTTCTGAAAATGATCCTAAGATATAGTGCAGTGATTGGACCACATTTGACCACTGTAACCAAACAAGATACAAAGAAAGATATTCAAAAGCACAAAAAAAAGTGTGGTCACAGTGTTAATATATTTAAGTCATGAGGATAGAAATTAGTTTTTCAGTCTTGAGAGGAGATGACTGAGAGATAAAATGGCACAGAACAGAAAAAGTACATCTAAAACTCTATTTCAAACTAATCTATGACAGTAGGGCAAAATGACAGTTTTATATCACCAAATAGTGAGTGTTGTACTGAACAAGTAATAGACTTCTTGACAAAGAACAGTAAATAAGATATGAACTAAATTTCTAGGTGCATATCGAAAATGAAAACTATGGAGTTATTTAAGAAATAGATGCTGCAAAAATTTTAACATTTCCTTTAAAAGAATGAGTTAAGATGAAGGAATGGCTTTCTTTTCCGAATCTATTCTGTGAATTGTCGAGTGTTAATTCTTTTCAACATAATTTTACTATATGTCAGTGAACTTATACAGCCTACACTTTAAGGACTGCCTGCAATACGTTTAAATCAAAGAACTTGGGTGAGTACATCTCAAAATCAAAACAAAAAATCTGAGATCATGAGAATTTTACCTCATGTGGAATATAGTCTGGTGGCAGTTTTTCTAGCATTTCATTTGCAAGGCGTCGGACAGTGCTTTCTCTGGTCTCTCCTTCACCACCTCCACTATCCTTAGGTTGAATGTTGACTATTGTGTTAAGAGTTTCATTTGCCATATTAGTCTGGTAAGTTATATCTGCATTTGAATGAAGCCCAAATACCTACAAGATCAAAACAAATACATAATTGTGCTCAGTTACAAGTAAATCTCCATTTACCTCATTTATATTAGAGCACAGTAACTGAGAACATGAACATTTTGCATACAATGTATTACCTGCCCTTTTGTTTCATTCTGTAATGATGAGATACAATTTCAGCCATGATTAAACATCCAAAGCTTAAAAAGATCTCAGCATTCAACATGTGCAAATGTCAAGACACCATAGATTCTGAGATAACAAAAAAAATTCACATATCAAAACAATTAGGTTAAAGTAAGTCAATGGTTAACCAGATGCTGAATAGTCCCATGACCTGGTTCACATTATGGTCCAGGAAACAGATTGTTTAGCCAGCGAATGGAAGGTAGGCTTCCTGCAGCAACATGCTGACTGCAAGATTGCAGTCTGCAATAACAGATTCTCTGGCAGGTCTTTGGGTAGAAGATGATAGATCTATAGGAGTTGAGGACAAGAGCCAAAGAGCACCAGCAACTGGCATCTAGTGCCTGGGAAAAGACTGGCCAGAGTATTCTCAGCCTGCTATCAAATGGTAGTGCAGTTAAAGATGAGGCAATTGGTATGTTTAATTTTGTGGTAATGGACCCAGTTTTAAAATGGTGAGACTATGAAGTGACCACACAGATGTGTGTAAATAAAATGCCCAGTCAAGAAAGAAATATTGACAGTAGGACAGGGGAACATAGGTTCAAAGCAGAATTAGGTATCTGGGGAAGAGGAGACATATTAATAATGTTTTATCTAAATAGTGATCCTAACATTGAATGGACCTTTTAGTGGAATGGTGATAAATAAAACAAATCATACAGGATTCAGTGGTAGCTCTGATAGTAAAGGCCTCAATTGTTTGTTCATGACAGATGTAGTAACCCTCTTATGTCTACCTGTCTTGTGAACAGTCAATGCAGAATATACATGAAACCCCTTTACAGGATTACCTGCCATCAGACAAACAATATAAAGACTTGGGTTTTCATCTGTATAGAAGGAATTGTGAGTTAGGCCACTTCCCAACACTTTGGTTCCACATCCCACCTAGAAGTGCCCTTCCACTCTGATTTCATAGTGGGATGGGGGCTGGATTTGGGGTTGGTGCCTCCATTCCCTGTGACATCATGTCAGTTTTATAAATGAGGATTAGATACCCTAATTCTTATCCTCACCAACACTTATGCCCCCTCATATCCTTCCATGCCCACTTACGTCAATTCATGCCCTTTCACATGCTTCCCAAGTTCCATCCATAACATGAATGACCCACTCACCCCATTATCTACTATGAACAGAATTCATGAACCCTGCAATAACATTGGGAAATCTTTGACATGCTCGCAAAATTATCCAAATAAGCAAACATTCAAAACTTCTTCAAAACCCTGATTCTCTTGACAGCTCATAAAACCATCAAAACATTGAAACTCCAATTGAATAAAACCTTATTCCTCTTAGTTGGTCATAAAACTGTACAAATAAATAAAGTTTTCAGAAACATCAATCACAGCCTATAAATCAATCTGATGCACAAGCTGGCCAGAAAAATCATGTTTTTGCACATATGTTGCACATACAGTAATTCTGCTTTACAGCTACACTGGTGCTGGTAGTCAGCCTTAGTTTTCACCTCACAATTGGATAGCTTACTGACCATTGCCAGATAACTCAGGGCTCAATTAGCACAGTTGTCTGGATGGCTGGTTTGTGATAAAGAGTGACACCAACTACGCAAATTCAATTCCTGCACTGACTGTGTTAACCATGAAGGTCCTGCCTTCCCAACTTTGTCCCTTGTCTGGGATGTGGTGACCCTCAGGTTAAACTCACCAACAGTCATGTCTCTCTAATGAGAGGGCAACCCTCTGGGACAATAGCAACTTTACATTTTATAACTGGGTGCACAGGATCAGGCATGCAAAGTTACGAAGATGTGTGGGAATTTCAGACACACCCACGCAGAGATCGCACATAGTGAATGATGAGAATGGTGATCATCCACACCCATGCCAGTGGTTTACATTTATACTTAGCATTTAAGTAGATCACGACTTATGCAGGATCTTCTGAGGCTTCCAAAGTTCTATGAGCACACAACCAAGGAAGTAGGCCACGAGGCTCATTCAACCTGCTTCGCCATTCAATAAGACCATGCTCACCTAATTTTAACCTCAACTCTATATTCCTGCAAATCCCTGATCATCATTCCTCCTCTTGCTAATCAACAATCTACCTCTGCCTTAAAATTATTTAAAAATTCTGCATCTACTGCCTTTTGAAGAAGAGAATTCCAAAGACTCATGACCCTCTGAGAGAATTCTTATTTCCTCATTTCTGTCTTAAACGGGCAACATCTTACTTTTAAACTATGACCTCTAGTAGTTGACAACCCAGGTTGACCTTTACAACAACACCTACAGTATTTAATTTATTATACATCATTAGGTTGTGATATGTTATATTATCAGAACCTTTTGATTAGTCCTGTCAAAAAGGCCTGACTCTAAGGGAATAGCATGGATCTAAATGCCCTACCCCAGCAAAGGAACTGGATACTAAATACAATCAGAGATAGTAGGAACTGCAGATGCTGGAGAATCCGAGACAACAAGGTGCAGGGCTGGATGAACACAGCAGGCCAAGCAGCATCATAGGAGCAGAAAGGCTGACATTTCGGGCCTAGTCCCTTCATCAGAAAAGGGGGAGAGGAAGGGGGTTCTGAAATAAATAGGGAGAGAGTGGGAGGCGGATAGAGGAGAGGATAGGTGGAGAGGAAACAAACAGGTCGAAGAGGCGGGGATGGAGCCAGTAAAGGTGAGTGTAGGTGGGAAGTTAGGGAGGGGATAGTCAGTCCAGGGAGGACGGACAGGTCAAGGGGGCGGGATGAGGTTAGTCGGTAGGAGATGG